GTTTGCCTGGAAATTACCTAATTTCACCATCGTATTTGAACAAGAGTTTTGCAGGATATATTATTCTTGGCTGGCAATTTTTTTCTTTCAAGGTTTTGTATATGTCATCCCATTGCCTTCTTGCCTGCCTGCATGGTTTCTGCCAAATAATCCAAGCTTAGTCTTATTGTTTCTCCTCTGAATGTGACTTTTTGTTTTTCTCGAGCTGCTCTCGGAATTCTTTGTCTTTGGTTTTAACAAGTGTGATTATGATATGCCTTGGTGATGTTCTTTTGGGATCTATCGTATATGGGGTTCGTTGAACTTCTTGGATGGCCAGTTTTTCATCTTTCATGATATTGGGGAGGTTTTCTGTCAGCAATTCTTCAATGATTCTGTCTGTGTTTTCTGTTTTCTCCCCCTGTTCTGGAACTCCGATCACGCTCAGATTTTTGCTTTTGATTGTATGCCACCTAATTCTCATGGTTTCTTCATTTTCCTTTGTTCTTTTTTCTGATTTTTCCTCAAACAAAGTTGTATCCAAGTGCTTGTCTTCAATTTTGCTGATTCTATCTTCCATCATTTCAAACCTGCTCCTCTGCCCTTCTATGACACAGTCCATTTCTGAAATCTTGTTGTTTATCTTTTGGATTCCTAATTGTTGTTTTTGTATGATTTCTAGTTGTGAATTTATTTTAGCATTTTGTTCCTGCATTATTTTCTTGAATTCTTCCATTTTTTGGTCTGTATTTTCCATGAATATGTCTTCCTTTTCCATGAATTTTTCTATTTTTTCCTCATTGTTGTCTGCTTTTTGCTTTAACTCTTGGATAATTCTGACTATTAGAGATTTGAATTCCCTATCAGTTAGTCTAGTGCTTTTTCTTCTACTGGAAAGTCATATGGTGTTTTATTTTGGATACCTACTGGGACCATCCTGCCCTATTTTTGTAAATGTTTTGAGATTGTCTGCTGTCTTCGGGGCATTTCGTGGTTATTTTCCTCATTTATTGATTGTAGAATTGTTTGTTTCATCATGCTTTTTTGGTTTTATTCTGTTATGTCTGAGCAGGTGGGCTGTGTGTTCTTTGTTGTTTGCTCGTCTGTGGGCATGATACTTTTCCCCTCCTTCTCCAGTGGGCAGGGTCAGTCACTCAGGTATGGTACAGCAGGGCAGGTCCAGCTGAAGGGGAGTTGATGGGATGGGTTATTTGTGGTACATACCAGTGCTGACAGTGCAAACAGGGAATTAGTGCAGGGCAGGTTCCCGTAGACTGTGCCTCTGCTGCTTGGGAGTGTGATGTTCAGTGCATGGTGCAGGTAGGCAGGAAGGAGGGGGTAAATAGTGATGTGTGGAGCTAAGATGGGTATGGGGAAGATGAGAGAGGAGAGAGGAACAGGTGCCAAAAACATACACACAAACAAAAAAGAGTGTTAAGGGAGCTTGCTATTGGAGTGGAGAAATGAGAGACTGAGAAGTGGAGAAAAACAAAAATGAAAAAAAAAGAAAAACAAAAAAAAATGAATAAATTGAGAAACTGGAAATGAAGCAAGACAAAAAGCAAATAAGAAAGAGAAGAAAACAAAACAAAGAAACAAAAAAATAAAAAATAAAAAAAATAAAAAAACAAGAAAAAAGAAATGCTCCCAGGGATGTTCCTGTGCTTCTGCGCAGAGTAAGGGAGTAGCTTCCAAGCTGTGTGGTACTGCCCGGCTAGAAGGGGCTCCCAAGCAGTTGTTCTGTCTCTTGCTGGAAGCTCCATGAAGCTGCTTTCTCATACCCCATGTTAGCTGATCTCTGATAGGAGTTCAAGATGGCGGATCTGTGCTGTGGTAGCTGATAGGGGATTTCTGCATGTATCTCTCCTCGCTCTCTGTTCTTGGTCAGTTTCTTATTCCATTTGGTGCTTGGCTGACTTCTTTATCTCTTCATTTGATGCTTAAGGTTTCAGGATTGATGTGTGACTCTGACTTAGTTTTTCTGATCTTTGCTGCGGAGGGACGGTGTGGTGCTTCTGACTATAGCTCCATGTTGCCTGGAAGTCCGCTTGCGAGATTTTAAGACCCTAGATGCCACTCACCAAAGTAGGATGCAGAACATTTTCTTAATAAGCTTTGTTATGCCAATTGACCTAGATGTCCCTGAAATCGTGGTCCCCAGACCCCTACTCCTGCTTCTCTGTCCCTCAAAGTGTTTGATTGTATTCAGGAAACTTCTTAGCTTTGGTTTAGTCCAGATGTGCTGACATCCCCTGTAGTGTGTGCTGTCCTTCCCTTCACCTAAGATAATTCTTGTCTACTATCTAGTTAGTAAATAACCCTCACCCTCCCTCCCCACTCTCCTAACCATCAAAGAATGTTTTCTTCTGTGTTTAAACCTTTTCTTGAGTTCTTATAATAGTGGTCTTACACAATATTTGTCCTTCTGTGACTGACTAAATTCACTCAGCATAATGACTTCCAGCTTCCTCCATGTTAGCAGACAAGTGGTTTGATCATCGTGCTGCCAGGGCTCCTTACCAAAAAAACCCACCAAACCTATTGCCGTCAAGTGGATTCCAACTCATAGCGACCCTATAGGACAGAGTCCAACTGCCCCATAGGGTTTCCAGGGCTGTAAATCTTTACGGAAGCGGACTGCCACATCTTTCTACTGAGGAGCAGCTGATAGGTTCGAATTGCTGACCTTTCAGTTAGCAGCCGAGCGCTTAACTACTGCACCACCAGGGCTCATTCCTGGCCCATTAGTCCAGTACTAATCAGGCTCAACCTCATGTCCTCAGCCTTAGTTTTACTTCCCACCCCACCCCATACCTCCTAGATCCTCTGTTAAACAGAGCGGTCTCCTCACTGACCCCATGGAGCAGTCACACCCATTCTGGACTCTCGCCTTAGACCAGGGTTCCTGCAGCCCTTCCAGTGCCCTCAAGCTCCACCTTCAGCGATGTGAGTCAAGAGGCTTCCAGCCTCAGCTCACCTTTGCCTTCTTTCCTTTGAGCCTTCCCCTGACTGTTTCAGATCTTAACTAATCCCCAAAGACCACAGCCACTCAAACTCCTGGATTTTATAATACCTTGCAATGATTATCAGTTCTTCCTGTGTATTCCTCACCTTACAATTTGGTGGAATTTTTTAGAATAGAGGCCAAACATAGAGCATGGCAATGCCTACCACAATACCGATGGCTCCATAAATGTTTATTTTATTTTATTTATTCACTTATACAACAAACATCTGGTATGCCCCCCTAGATGCCTGGTGCTATGCTGGGTCCTGAGAAACAAAAGTGAAAGTGGTCCTGTTCTTAAGAGGCTCCTCTTCTTTAAAATGTGAGCTGCAGGGGTGGGGAAATGGGATGACAGAAAGGGTTCACCTAACTCATAGCCAGGGTGCCGGTGAAGGCCTTCTAGGAGAGACAATAGTCAAAGCCAACATTTGAAAAATGTGTGAGAGTTTTTGAGTGGAGTGGGGGAGATTGGGAATTGATGTGGCAGGCAAAAGGAGTGCCATATGCAGAGAAGAGAGGAATATTCTTGGAGCTAAGGGGAGGGTAGTGGGGCAGGAGGTAAGGCTGGAGAGGGGTGTAGGGTCAGTTCACAAAAGTACTTTGCAATGCTTGGCTAAGGAGCCTGGCCTAGATCCTGATAACCTAGAGAGCCGTAAAGGCATTTAAACAATAGCCTAGTTAGCTCTTGCTTAGACAGGTCCCTGTGGCAAAAATGAAGAGAGTAAGTAAGAGGAGGAGATACTGGAGATGGCAGAGTAGTTAAGAGGCCCTGGGGGTCATCCAGATAAGCAGTAATAAAGACCAGAACTCCTCTATCTCCTGGGACTGGCCGTGCTGCCTCTTCTCTCACCTGACCTAGTGTCCCTGACTTCAGTAATTTTCCCTGACGATAGGGCTCCTCTCTGTGGTGCACATTCATCTTATCTCCCAACCTGCAACCTTCCTCTAGTAGATGAGAAGCTGGAGCTCCAGCAGAGCCAGGTCCCACTGGGTTCTTGCTAAAGCATCCCTCACCTGGATGATTGGTGTTTGTAGAGGGGTGCGAAGAGGCTGCAGGTTGGCTCTGAAGAATGGGAAGTGGCCATACTGACTCATCAGAAGTCTCAGCGTTCTGTTAAAGTCGAAGGAAGTCCAGTTCCCCGAGATCCTCCAGCCTCCAAGCTGGGAAGAAGAGAGGTAGGGCTCAGCATAGAGGTCTCCATGACCTGTCCCCATGGTGTTTGGATACTGCTTAGATTCTGCAGAGTTAAGCCCTCCAGGCTCCACTTCCAGTCTCTCTTTCTCCTCAGCCAAGGTCTTGATCTGTGGATGGTACTGTCATCTCCATCTCCATCTCCCTCCTACACCTTGGGGATCGCTAGGAAAGGGACCCACCCTCTAGAGAAAAGTGGTAGCCCCGGGCATGCAATGGTCCTATATGCTGTGTGTCTACAGCCCCAGGCCTCACCTCCTCAATAACTTGCCTGAGGGGACCAGCCCCTGCAGCTTCAATGGCATCCATGTCCATGCAGGATCTGTAGAACTGGAAGGCTTTCTCCTCCGCAGAGCCTGGGGGCCAGGGACTCGGGGCCTCTAGAAAGGAAGCAAGAGGGATTGAAGGAGTGGGGCCAATATAGAGCAGACAGAGAGAGTGGGAGACAGGGAGTTTATAGGACAGCAAAGGAAGATCCCCGAGAAAATGGAAGAAGGGGGAGGATTAGAAAATGAGAGGAATTGGAAGATGAGAGGACCGCCCATTTGGAGTGGTCAACTTGACGGAAAAATAAGAGCAGGGAAAAGAAACGTAGAGAAGAAGACAATGCAGAAAGGACATGGAAGAAGAAGGAGGAAATAGGAATAACTTGGGTACGGTGAAAGTGTAGAAATGGAAGACAGGAAGGAGATGAGTGAAGAAATCAGAAAAAAAATCAGGAAACCAAAGAACTTTGATGGACTGGAGAGAGGAACACTTATATGGAAAGGTTTTAAAAAGAGAAGAAATGAGGAGGACTCTTCTACTCCTGATGCTCCTGACCCAGGAAACGAACAAACACATCACAATAACCAGACATATCCATATGAACCACCCGCTGTCTAGTACCTACCATTTCCCCTTCAGCCCCTGCCATCTCTTCATTCTGTTCATAGCAATGGAGTTTGTGTTAAGCATATCTTTTCTTTTTCACTCTGTGCCTTAACTGGAAGCATGGGCCTCCACCGAGGAAGAGCCTATTCCCTACTCTTTACAAAAGGAGGAGGGCAGAGGGATACGTTTATTTCTCCCAAGTTTCAAATGGCACTGTGAGTGCTTTCTCTAGGTCTCCGTACAAAGGAAATTCATGCCTAGCTCATGTTTCCTTATTCCTAAATCCTCATGACCATCCACCAACTTCCTGGGGCCCACTCCTAACCTCCTAGATGACCTACTTCAGTTCCTTCCTTGTATCTTTCTTCTCAGTTCTGTCTTTGACCATTATCTTGCATATTCCAACTTCCATGTGGATGACCCATCTGTGATGCCCTCCTGACATGCCCTCATCCTCAGCATCATTGCTTCCTCCTCTCTTCTCCTCCAGAGCTGCCATCTACTGGAGTCTGCTTTACCTCCAAGGTTTGTAACTTGGTTTTCCTCTTTCTCCAGCATATTCTTTGTGCCCTTATTTTTTCCCTTACCCACCAGTACCTCCAACCATAGAACAACTCCCCCTTACCACTTCTCACCCCACTACTTCCATCCCACCAGCATTCCCAATCATACAACCCGTCACCCCATTTCTTTCAGGTCAGCTTGCATACCTTGGTCTAAGTTTCAGGGGGGAGGTAGGAGATAATTGCAAGCATGGTGAGCTGTGAGGTTGTGGGAGGAAGAGGATGAGGTTGAGAAGGGGGCCTTGGAAGTCAAGGAGGCTCTGAAAGCCAGAGAATGAGAGTGATGGAGAAAAGAAAGTACAAGAGATGTTGAGGAGGTGCTGGTGCGAGAAAACAGGACGCATAGGATAGCAATCGAAAACTTGGGGGAGATAACAGAGAAGATGGAGCTGAGATACAGTCTCAGGTGGAAATAAGGGAGAACTTGGACAGAATGGAAGAGGAAAGAGACTAGGATTCAGTAAAGAAAAGGTGAAGAAAGAAGAGATGGATGAGAGGAGGTGCCTGTGGTAAAAGGGAGCAAAGCAGTCTGAGAAGAAAACCAGGAAGTTGTTTTCTGAGGAGCCCAAGGGATGGGGGTGGGGGTCAGCTCTCCACACCACACAGGCTGGGGCAGTCCTGACAGTTATAGGCTCCAAGTCTCCTCCTTCTTCCTGATTTCCTCACCCAAAATTCTCCGGAGTCGGCCCTTGTTCTCCTCTTCAAGAGCCTGAAAAGAATTCCTGGTCCTGTTGGCATTCCCACAGACAAAGCTGAAGAAGTCAGAGCAGGGGGCCACACTGGTGTTTCCTGAGGCTAGGTACCTATCCAGGAGGTCCAGACACACTGGGGTCTCACAGGAGAGCACATCTGGGGCAGAAAAGAGAGAGAGGAGTGGGCGCCCCCAGGAGCCAGGTCAGGGACTGCGGGTAAGGCAGCCAGGAGAGAGAGCTATGTCAGGAAATGTCTGATGGTGGCCGTATGGCCAGATGGGATTCAGAGAGGATGGAGGAGGGATCAAAGTGGCCTTGTGGCATCTGTGAGGAATGAGAGGGTCAAGGTGGTGAGGGGCTAATGTATCCATGGACCAGGGTGCATGACTGAGGGAGGGGACTGGCAAGGGGTCCCGGGACCATGCTTACAAGGGCCAGAGTTCTGGAAGATGTAGACACAAAGCACAGAAAAGCCAACCAGCAGGCCAAGAAGCAGGAGTACCATCAGCACCCACTGGGTCCAGGTCCGTGGGAAGCTCCTTGCTGTGGGCAGCCCCTCCTCAAGAGGCCCCTGTGGGGACAGGAGGGGACATGGTGGGGGGAGAGAGGGGGAGTGCATACATCAGGGAGTGTGAGGGCCTCTGTACAGAGATGCTGCTCCTTGTCCCCTCGAGCCTGGGGACAAGGAGGACTGGCATGGGTAAGGACTAGTAGGCAGTTAGAGGGTGGGTGTTGTGGGCCAGCAGAGCTGGAGGTGACAGCATGGCTGTACCCCAGCTCTAGCACGTGTTGGGGGGTCACTTACCTCCTGGGGTGACCCCATCCCAAGGCTAGGCTCAGCCCCCTGGGTAGTCTTCACTTCCTGAGCTGAGTTGGGGGAGAGAGAGAGAAGCTGGCTCAGGAAAGGGCACATTGAAGGGGCTGACACCTCTCCCTGCCTCCTGCCCCCACATCTATTTTCACCTGTGTCTTTATCCCAGACAGACTTTAAAATGCACCTCCTCCACCCTGCACCATTGCACCCCCTCATCACCTCCCTCCTTTCTCCTTCCCCCAAAACTCACATTCCTCAGTTCCAGTGGGGGCAGGGTGCCCCCACCCACAGCCCCCACCCCAACATCACCCACAGCCTCCACCCCAACATCACCCATAGCCCCCACCCCAACATCACCCACAGCCTCCACCCCAACATCATCCACAGCCACCACACCACCCACAGCCCCCACCCCACCATCACCCACAGTTCTTACCCCAACATCAATCATTGCCCCCACCCCACCCACAGCCCCCACCCCAACATCACCCACAGCCTCCACCCCAACATGACACATAGCCACCACTCCAACAACAGCCACAGCCTCCACGACAACGTCATCCACAGCCCCCACCCCCAGTCTCCCATCCCCACCCCACCCACAGTACCCCCACGCCCCACCTTAGGTACCTGACCCCAAAGGGAATTGTTTTCTGCTGGGGCCTTGCTGGCTGTCTGTTGTCTGTCTGCCGGCTGTCTGTCTGTCAGCCGTCTTTCTGTCTCTCTCCTGTCCCTCTGGCTTCATCCAGCTCTTCCTCCTGGAATCTCCCTTGTTCTGCCCCAGGAGGTGTCCTCCCTCCTGCTGCAGCCGCCCCGCCATCTTGGAGAAGGGGCACGTCTGCCCCCAGACACACACATACTCTTGTGTCCGGGTGGAGCCGTTATCACTCGGGGGACACGGTGACCCCTCCTGCTTTATCTCTGCTGTCAGGACGGCAGGGAGGGCCTGCTCCCAGACTCTGCTCAGGGAGTCTTTATTTCTGGGAGACTCTTCTTCCTTCCTTCTGTGGGAGAGAGCTCTTGGACCCCTCAATTCTAGGGCACAGACGTGTTGAGGAAGGAAACAGGCTGACACTGTTAAAAGAGAAAGCAGAGAGCTTGTTGACGGAGATGGTAAGCCACTCGAACAGGGCAACACAGGCTGATACAAGAACACACAGTGCTCCAGCTCACTGGGAAAGAGGTGAGACCTCTATACGGTAAAGTGCGGAAGGAGTGAATAGGAAAAGGCAAGTAAAATGAGCAAGGGGTACATGACTATGGTCACAAGGTGGGCACATGACTCAAGTCACAAAGGGATTGTTTAACCACAATCTTTCTTCACATCAACAGCTTCTATTTTGATGTACAGTAGGCTCCCCACCCCCCTTATCTGAGGTTTCACTTTCTGAGGTTTCAGTTACCCATGGTCAACTGTGGTCTGAAACTGTTAACTGAGTACATACCATGATAAAATCTCGCTCTATCCCACTCCGTCATTCACATAATTTTTATTATAGTATAAAGACTCATTAACAACTTTTGGTATGCAAATGACACAACCTTGTTTACTGAAAGTGAAGATCAAAGACTACAGACTTCAGTATAGATTACACCTCAACACAAAGAAAACAAAAAGACCCACATCATGATAAACGGAGAAAGGATTGAAGTTGTCAAGGATTTCATTTTACCTGGATCTTCAATCAACACCCACGGAAGCAGCAGTCGAGAAATCAAATGATGCATTGCATTGGGCAAATCTGCTACAAAAGATCTCTTTAAAATGGTAAAAAGCAAAGATGGCACTTTAAGGACTAAGGTGCACCTGACCCAAGCCTTATATGCATGGGAAAGCTGGACAATGAATAAGGAAGACCAAAGAAGAATTGATGCCTTTGAATTGTGGTGTTGGTGAAGAATATTGAATATACCATGGACTTCCAGAAGAATGAACAAATCTGTCTTGGAAGAATTACAGCCAGAATGCTCCTTAGAAGTGAGGATGGTGAGGCTTTGTCTCATATGCTTTGGGCATGTTATCAGGAGGCACCAGTCCCTGGAGAAGGACATCATGCTTGGTAAAGTAGAGGGTCATCGAAAAAGAGGAAGACCCTCCAAGTGATAGATTGACACAGTGGCTGCAACAATGGGCTCAAGCATAACAATCGTGAGGATGGTGCAGGACCGTGCAGTGTTTTTTTCTGCTGTACATAGGGTCGCTATGAGTTGGAACAACAACAATGTTGTAATTGTTCTATTTTATTATTAGTTATTGTTAATCTCTTACTGTGCCTAATTTATAAACTTTATCATAGGAATGTATACATAGTGTGTAGACATATGCATATTTGTGGTTTTAGGCATCCACGGAGATCTTGGAACGTATCCCCCATGGATAAGGGGGGACTATTGTACATGGGTCTAGGGGTTACAGAGGAGTTAAAAGACAATCACAAGTTAATCTATTTCTCAACATAGGCTTTCTGTAATAAGCTTCGAAAACATTCTTGCCACATTCTTGACCCCCAACCTTATTGTGTTACAAGCAGTTAAACTTTTACAGGTAACTAAACTGTCTTTTCAGAAAAGCAGAAGTGGAGACTTAGGATGATCCAAAATGGAGTTAGGTTAACAACATGGAGCTTGATTCACAGCGGGGTTAGCTATCCTGTTCCAGGCAAGCGCCTGGATTTTGGAAGACTCTTTACACAGACCTCTCACCCAGGAGGCCTCATGTGCCCACCACTCCCACCCCCCGGCACATTCACTGGCTCCGTAGTGGCTCTGCTGGTGGGGGCCGAACAGTGCAGTGACAAGACCCCACACCAGGAGACCCTAGCCTACTAATGCTATGCTATGACAGCCAGCACGTCAGAGAGCATGCTCTGTGGTGGAGAACAAGGCTAACACTTGCCTCTGGCAACCTCACGGGTCACTCTCCAAGAGCGATGGGGACCATGGTGGCTCTGTCTTTCACTCTGCATCTGGTGCACTGGGACAGGTGCCTGCACTTCCCCACCCCTGCAGGCTCCTGGGGGCGGGCATGGAGCCCCTTTGCCTTCACCCACGCAGCGTGCTCCTTAAGTGTTAGTAGGGGTGAGTGAGTTCTGAGCCAGACCTCTCATCATCACACAGCCTCCCTGTGGTCTCAGCTCTGACCCTGTTCCCTCCCCAGGCAAAGGGATGGGCCACCACAGCCGTGGTCACTTGAGCACCTGCTATAGCCACGACTCGGTTGCTGGGCTGGGCATGTGGGAAGGAGGGCTGCAGGGTTGCAGAGGGTGTAGACTGGGGCCACAGTGTGGAGTATTCTGGAAGTCATGAAGAAAAGCAAGGACTCCAGGCATCAGAAAGGAAGGCATGGACTGTCCTGAGGAAGGCTCTGTGTGATGAAAAAGATGTCCAGGAAAGGCTGGGCTGTGCTGTTGTCTATTCTGACTGGGTGAAGACTGGAGGCAGAGCGGCTAGCTCAGGTGCAGATGGATGAAGTGAGGACCGGCCCAGGGCGATGGCAGAGGGGAGGGACATACGAGGAAAGAAACAAACATTCTGTAGGAGGAAATAAAGTCACAGTAATTGAACAGGAGTACAACGGAGTTGGGGGTGAGCTCCAGGCATTCCTTCTGGATGACTGAGGGTGGTGGTGAACCTGATAGGAACGGTGGTGCTTTGGGTAGGGGGGGAGCAAGACGATGATTCGTGATGTTAGAGATTTGGGGTCTGTCGGGATGTATATAGACTGTCCCTCCCCTGCCTGCCCCCTCCCTGAAAGCCCAGCACTCAGCATGTCAACACTCTGCCTTCACAAACACCCCTTCCCACCTCTCTTCTATCAACCAAACCCCCTGGCTGATGTCCTTCTAGGAAAACAACAAGGACAAATCAGATTAGATAAGAGCGAGATGAGGCAGAGTGCCCTGTCCCTGTGACCAGCCACTGTAGCTTGGCTGTGTCCCTGTCCCTGCCAGGGAGCTGAGCCAGTCACAGAACAATGGTGTGAGCCCACTATTCCCCACTGCCCCTCAAAACAAAGTAACTTCAGGATCGGAGCCCTCTCATCTCCCATTCCCAACTCTGCCACCCCTAGCCCAGCCACACCTCTGGGGGACTGAGGTCACCCCTCAGCTGTGAGCAGTCGGGGACTCCTGCTGAGCAGATGCCACACTGCCCTGCAGACTCACCTCCTGGCCACTGCATTGTTCTCCCCAGTCTGTCCTCAATCCAGGATCTTTGGTTTGACTCCATAATAATACCAGAATGACAACAATCATAATAATATCTACTTTTTACTGAGCACTTCCTATATTCCAGGGACTGCAATGACTGCTTTGCTTATGTATCTCTTTCCATTCAGTCTTCATGATAATTCTATGGATGCAGGAAGATAAGAGTTATAATTTCCCCCATCTTACAGATGAGAAAACTGAGATGCATGGAGATACAGTAAAGTTATAAAGTCATTAAATGTCAGAGCTGGGAATTCATACCTGGTTTAAGATTTAGCCATTGAGCCTCTCAGTCATTAAAAAACAAACAAAAAAAACCTATTGCTGTGGAGTCAATTTTGATTCATGGTGACCCCACGTACTACAGAGTAGAACTTCTCCATAGGATTTTCTTGGCTATAATCTTATGGAAGCAGATCTTCAGGCCTTTCTTCCAAGGCATCTTTGTTGTGGTTTGAACCACCAACCTTTAGGTTAGTAGTTGGGTATAAACCATTCACTTGATGCTTAAGAGCTCGGCTGCGAACCAAATGGTCGGCGGTTCAAACCCACCAGTGGCTCCACAGGAGAAAAGTCCTGGCGATCTGCTCCCGTAAA